GGATCACCACTGGCACCGTCCCTCCCAGCTCTCAGCCCCACTCACAGCTGACTCGGCTGCACGGGGGCACCACTGCTGCTGGCTCACAGCAGAACTCGGTGACAGGAGGACAGCAGAGCTCCCCGTGCAGCCCTGTGCCCGTGTGACACCGTGTGACACCGTGCTGGCACTGCCAGAGCGGGGCAAACGCCGCCGTCACTGCACAGCCAGCCTGAGGAACAGGACTGGAAAAGGACTGACACTAGGAAACCAACAGGAACAGCTCCCAGAGACACACAGCTTTCTGATCATCACCTCCCACGTCCTCCCACACGCTTGGCAAGAACAGCCGGTTAAAAATAAACAACAAAACCTCTTCAGCATAACCGATTCCTGATTGGGAAAACAGCCCAGGACTTCACAGAACCCTCCTGACCTGTGTGCCAGCTCCACCAAGCACCAAGGACAACTTCCAGCACCTTCCTGCCTCACTGCCCCCCCACAACCCAGACATCCCCACAGGAAACTGAAAACATAAAGAATGTTTGCTGTAAAACGGTCACAATTGTGCTGGCAACTTACAACACATCTGTTGCACCAAGATGCCAAGAATCACAGCAAAGCCAAATGGCAACAAGGCATTTTCCTGAACATTTTTCCTCTGTTGACTGAGCAACCATCGTTAAAAAATACAAAAATAGCCAAATTTGGCCCTGTTACTGTTCCAATAAACCACTAGTACATAACAGCAGACACCTGATAAACCATGCAAGACTGAAAGCTCAAGCCTACCTTGCCAAAGCTTCCCTTCCCAATGGCCCGGAGAATCTGGAAGTGGTCAAAGTTCACTACAAGGTAAAGAAAAAAGAATTTACATTTGTAAATTATTTACTACAAATAAGCTTGCATTTAAAAGAAGGCAGAGAGACAACTACAACAGAGCGTTGGCCAGGCTTTTGTTAAAAGTTTTCCTCTGGGGAAGCTGCAGGACAGCTTTCCTTTCAAGTCTCTTTCCACGTGCTTGAGGCAGCTGGCAGAGGATGGATGAGGTTACTGAATTTGTGGTTTAGCACAAAGTAAAAAACAGCTTCAACCTGTGTGGATCGGGGTGGGGAGGGGAGCTCCACAGAGCTCAGGGGCAAACTGCAAGTGTGGCAGAGTGGAGAGCGTGGTGAGACCCTGCCCCACACTCTGATCCTGCCTGGTCACTGCCCCACTGCACACTGCCCCCTGCCCCATTGCCCACTGCCCCACTGCCCCTCAAACACTGCCCACTGCCCCACAAACACCACCCCTGTCCCCTGCCCCACTGCCCATTGCCCCACAAACACACACTGCCCCATGCCCTGTGCCCAGCCAGCACTGGGGTGCTGCTGCTGGTGTGCCAAAGGACAGCGTTAGAGGACAGGGACATCCCTCCACTCCCTTCCCATGCAGACCCATCTGGAAGAGCTCCATAGCTTTTTCCAGAGCCAGCATGAGGAGCAATAACAAGAGATGATCGTGCAGCTCTAACACTCAGCCACTGCCTCCATCAGCGCTCTGCAAACAAAATTATTTTTATTCCAAAGTACTGCTGCGGTTTAATTTAATATCAGTTTGAAATGAAGAAGACAAGGTGAGGAGGAGTTGCTGATGGACTGAGCCCACTGCTCAGATACAGCTGTCAGCCCCAACAGCTGTACCACAAGACCCCCACTGTGCAGGGCACCCTCAGCAGTCCTTGCCAGGTCTCTGGATGAAAAGAAATGCTTGGCATGGGCTCGGGGGTTTGCAGCATAAGATGGTCAGCAATGAGCACTGAGCCTGTTGGCTGGCCACAGAGACCACAATCACTCAGGAGGAGTGGGAACAAAGAATTCACTATAAATATTATGAGTCCCACTCCTAGATTTTAAATAAATGCACATCTGTCATCTCTGAGGATGAATCAAGAGCCCACGCATGCCCATGGAGTTCCTATTACCCTTTTGTGCTAGGCTTATATCCAAAATATTGTTATTGTCACTTCTGTGGGACTTTTTCTGCAGGAGAGCTCAGGAAACTTTGCCAAATGAAACTGAGAACAGAATCCAAGCCAGCTCGCACTCCGCGTGTCCCTGCACTCCCAGTTCCCTCCCTCAGGCTGCTGAAGGGCAGAAGCACCACGACTGCTCCACGTTTACTTGGTTTAGTTGGTTTAGCTGACTTTGTGCTGATCGGTCAAAGGCTGCATTCCTTGATCTTGGATACAGATCTTATTCCAACTTTATCGACTCTGTGATCTCTGGAGATCTCTCCAGGAGATCCCACAACAGACCCCATGGGGACACCAGGGTCCCCACAACCTTCTGACAGCCCCCCACATCCTCTGGGGGAAGGGCTCAGCTCCACAGGTGTTGTGTCACCTCCTCATCACCTCCCTCCTCTGTGGGCCCTTTGTTTCAGAATGATTTTATCCAGGATTTTCCTACCACCCCTACTAGAAGAGCTGCAGTGAGCACTGCAAAACTGCAGCTTCAGTTTCACAAATGCTCTGGCTGGAATCTTCTGGCCGAAGCATTTGGAGCAACAGATGAAATGTTTTCCACGTGCAATCAAACCCACTGGATGACCTCCCATCACCCAGAGGATGCCCAGCTCCAGGGAGCCCCTCGGAAGGGCAGCATTGTCCTGATAATCAGTGCAAGTGCTCATGCTCTGCCATCACTTCAGGAGAAGAGCTTTTGATAATTCTTTGTTATAATGTTTGGAATATTGTGTAAAAGGCATTGCCACTGAGAAAACAAACCCCAAAGTGTCATTTCCATGTATCCATGACTACAACTGATCTGGGAAGCCTGCTCGAGTCAGCAGGCAGGAAACAAACCTAGATATGAATATTCACCAGGCCCTTGAACCTATCAGAAGAGATGTCACCTTTACTAAATTAATACAGAGTTCTGCTGATGGGAAGTTTGGATGATGCAGTGACTGGTTTCCCAGTTCCAGTATTTTCTGCAGCATTCAGCAGGCAATCTGATAATTCTGTGTAAGTAAACAATTCTATGATTACACGATTCCAATGAAGCAAAAGCAATCTCAGCATGTGAAAAAGAAAATCATAGTAGCAGCGTGTTGCTTTTTGTGCACAACACAGCGGATTCCTAAGAACGTTAAGTTATCACTACGGACTGCGTGATTCTGCCCAGAATAGAAACCCGGAACCTGCTGGAAGGATTGCGTGCGCTCCAGCAGCTGGGCTCGGTGCTGCCAGGAGAAAGCTGCCCTTCACCCACAGCCAGCAGAGCTGACTCGGGGTGCCCGCTGCCAGCCCGAGGCACAGACGCCAGCGGAGGCCTCAGGGGCAGAGCAGGAGGGCACGGCTGCTGCCTGTCCCAGCACTCGCCCGCTGCTCCGGCTCCTGCGCGGCTGCGGCGGCAGGACGGCCCCGGCCTGGGCAGCAGCCAGAGCCACCCACCACAGGGGATGGGGACGGGGACCTGGCAGCTGTAGGAACCAGTTCTGTGCTGCTCTAGCCTGCAGCAGCCTCCTGCACACGTGGTCATGGACCAAGGCCGTCGGGGCTCAGGAGGCACTCGGACAATGCCCTTGATGGCGTGCGTTGGCTTTGGGCAGCCCTGAAGCACCAAATGAGGGACTAGATCAGTCTAGGTGAGTGGGACTAGGGGTGTCTTAAAACTGCAAATATTCTGTTCTTCTGTTCACCCCATCCCATCCCATCCCATCCCATCCCATCCCATCCCATCCCATCCCATCCCAACCCAAACCAGCTGCAATGTGCAAACGGGAGGAGCTGACTCGCCCATCACAGCCAGCCCAAGCCCTCTGCTGTGTGCAAAGCCCCACGGGTGTTTCCCCAGCTCCTCACAGACCAGGACACTCACTGCTCCCCAACTCCTCATCAGCCTAGCAGGGGAGGGAACTACGGCACAGGAGACATTGGCATTTGCCATGCCCTGTCTCCCGGCTCTCCCTGGCACCAAGTGACAAACCATGAATCACAAATAAAGATAAATACCATAAATACCACAGCCTGCTTTGCTGCAGCTTTGTGCCCCAGTTCCAGGAATGTGTGATAAGCAGGATGGCAGGGATGCAGGGATACAGGGATGGCAGGGATGGCAGGGATGCAGGAATGGCAGGGATGGCAGGATGGCAGGGATAACAGGATGGCAGGGATGCAGGGATGGCAGGATGGCAGGGATAACAGGATGACAGGGATGCAGGGATGGCAGGATGACAGGGACGAAGGGATGCAGGGATGGCAGGGATGACAGGATGGCAGGGATGCAGGGATGGCAGGGAAAACAGGATGACAGGGATGCAGGGATGGCAGGGATGGCAGGGATGGCAGGGATAACAGGATGACAGGGATGCAGGGATGGCAGGGATGACAGGGTGACAGGGATGCAGGGATGGCAGGATGACAGGGATGAAGGGATGCAGGGATGGCAGGGATGGCAGGATGGCAGGGATGCAGGGATGGCAGGGATGGCAGGGAAAACAGGATCACAGGGCTCCACGTGCCCACAGGACCTCCCCAAACCTCACGCAGCCCAGCCCTGCCCACTGCACAACAGAGTGCCAGGTGCTGCTGTGACATGCCTGTAATTAAGATCTCATTGTAATCACAAGATGTACTGTGGGACAAAGCAGGCTGGATACACAGCTTCCACTTGCCAGTGAAATAGAGAGAATGAAGAGTACATGTCCCTGCAAAAACTCATTATACAGAAGGATAAGGGATGGAAAAAA